CGGACGGCCCGGCCAGCGACGCCCCTTCCCTTTGCATTCCGGCGCCAGTCGCGTCGCGACGCCGCACCGCGCTCCACAGTGGTTGATTGCCGTTATCTAGCGGTATTAAAATGTTATTATGTAAAATATATAAAAATATATAATATATAAAATATATTATATATAATAAGAGATACGCTTTTATTCGTTTCGAGCACATGCATTTTTGATTTAAAAACCAGTAGATTCTGGACATCAACCACTGTGCGCTCGTCGCAAAAGAAGAGATGCGATCGGAAAGGACACCCGACGAAGCTTTGTGCTTTCGCAGACCTTGTGCTCTTTAGACTGTGCCTCTAACGCAATGTTTGTTTTTTGTGCTAAAGGATCTTTAATTTTTTAAATTATTTACCGCTCTTCTTTTTTACGTTCGATAGTATGTACTTAACAATATCCTGTCTTGTTCGCATACTCTAATTCAATACGTGAATTACCAATTTAGATTATATGAAAGCATTATTTCCTTCCCTTCTATTTAATACAACCGTTTTGAATGATCACTTATCGCGATATTCAGTTTGTGCATTATTAATTAATGTCGCTACTTATATTTTCGAGTACGAGTATCTTCTTTAAGATTTTTATCTCGTAATATGTTTCCTATACTAACTTAATAACTTTAAGTAGTATTTATCGACTGTGATCATTAGATGTAAAGTGACTTTTTCATATCATGTTTATCTACTTTTTTTTAACTGTAAAGTCATAAACGCCACGAATAGCAATGGAACATTTTGTTGCAAAATATCACTTCATTGTTCTACAATTTATCTTTAAAATCTCTTAAACACATGACAACCTAGAGCAGACGAAGCTAATTTGTTGTAATATACACGTTATGTTTATTAACGTTTGCTTCAATTCCATATAAAGAACGATGTATCTTACTTGTAGAAACTCTTTTCAAGCGTTGATTAATACAGATCATAAACCACGTGACCATAGCGTGCAAACAAGAGCCAACCTTCACATTATTTTAAACAAGAGGCAAAACATTACCTATAAAGCTACGCATATGGAGATGTTCTACTTAAATATAATGAAATGTAATGTTGTGAAATTATTTTACTATTCCAAACTATGAAGAGAGTTACTGTAAAGTTACTTTTCACAAAGCGGCGCATTCCAAAGATAACTAATGAATAGTTATAATTTTTTTCTAATGGCTCATTAATATGCATTCATCACAGTATCATCAATGAAGATGTATTCATGAGATGATTCCAATTTCCTTATGCTGATGCGGTCGCTTGCATTTGCAAAGCAGTTCTGATTGAAAAACATGGTGTAACATCCTCTCGGTCCTTTGTTGATCAGTATTGATTATAACGGCAATCCAAATAGCCATGGAAAGCATTGCAATTGATATGTTACATTTATTGCAAAATAAAATGAAGCCGTTGGATGAATATGATATATTAGTGAACATTTTAATATCAATTCACGTGTGTTTTAAAATGAATTCTTTACTAGACTCACGTTGTATACAAAGAGACAAATTTTAAGTCTCAGTATGATTCAAACTGTAGCATTTTATTTCCTTTCGTATATCTATTTATTTTTAAGAATAAATAAGTCTCGATAAATTTCGTAAAATTCCAAGAGAACAGGGAAATTAAATGTTTTGAACAGAGTTTGCCAATTAGCCTAAGACCTCTCAAAACCCTGGATGTGGACCAAGATTTCCGTCAAGTCCCTTTCTTAACTCCATTGTGAATGAATGAATTTGTTTGGCATTCCTCCAATAGGGCCAAGTAAAGTGATGTTGGGGCATTACGATAATAACACTTTTAAATATTGCATGTGAATAACATTCAATAGAATAAATGTTTGACCTACGCAACATTCAAATATAACTTTAAAACCATAATCGTATTTATTAATTACAATGAAACTAGACTTAAGCGGTCACAGTTGGTCCGGAGAAAAATGGTCGTTAATACAGGTGTCTGCTTCACGGAGGTTATAACTTTTGAGAGTTACTATTTTTTTAATTCTGTTTATGTTTACATCTTAATTTACCTTTAAGTTATTGTACACAATAAGAGAAGCTTCGCAACTTCAAGATACTCGTAGAAGATGTAGAATGAGATCAATTTTAAGGCTAGAGGAAAAAGCGCATAGATATAGGTGATGAATAAACAGTGCCTTTGCATTCACTATTAAGTCCCAAAATATCCATGCCAACATTTGCTATAATGTAAGAAAATATCCACAATTAAAGGTCACAAAATTTTTATATAATAAATAACAAATTTCATCAGTTTCCACTTTTTCAGTTGTTGTGCATTTTGTAGCAGAAAAACAAAAATAATTAAAAATATTCTTCAGTTAGATTTCTTCGTTTATCCTAAAAATATTTTTAATTTTCTTAAATTTCCTTCCTAGTTCACGAGGCATAACAATAGCGTACTTTAAACACTAAATTTGCCTTTTCGCTAGTTCACGCTTTAAAAGGCGAAACAGTATTAACTCGTGTACGTGGAATGTCTTCTCCGCAACGCCCTTGAAGGGGATTCCCCGACATTTCGCGTGGAGCCATTCAACAGAGCAATCTATGAGCAGTTCGCAAAAGCTCTCGCGGCGGTGTGAACCCGCGGAATCCACCTGCTCCGCTATAATCCGACGGTGTAATGTTCACTTACTACTAGCTACGAAGTAAACATTTTGGAAGAATATTGCATTTTACTAAAGATTCGGATTGTAATTCCTTCTCTTGCAAACTTACGAAAATTTCAAAATATGTAGTTTGTCAACAAAAGTAAAGACGTCATCAATTTGTTGTCATATTCTAAGAATATTATATTTTTGGGTTATATGATTTATTTTAGGATTTGTGCTTTTAAGTTACATTGTGCCTTTAAGTTATCTTTACGAAAACAATATATCTTATGAATGTATGGATTTGGCATTTTAGTGTCGGCTTTTGTTAACTAGCGATGTTACCAGGCCCTGTTTTTATTTTTTATCGACGTCTGAGGGTAAGGGATGGCGAACATGGCTTGTTCCTACCACCGTATCTGACATATTTGGCCTACCTAAGCGTTTGTTTCGTCACAGGGCTGTAGAAACTGATACGATTGTATAAGAAAGATGCAGCTCTATTTTCGTCGCCGCTGGGTATCGAACTTACCATGCTAAATAACACCAAAAATATTCAATATTATTCGGAAAACGTTCAAACAAAGATTGTGCATAAGCTTCCCTAGCAAAACCTCATAACAAACATAATTCCTCGGAAAAAGTAAACTTTTACACATTCATCATTTCTTGGAACATTTAGAAATTTTTGGGATCTATAGTGAGCTTAAGCATGCGGAAAGAGGGACCTGAGAAGCTGTGGCCAGAACGGTGCGCCATAGTCCTATGTAATAAAAAAGATTCTGTAAATATGAAAACATCCTGATTTTCCCCTTTTTAAGATGAAAATACAGAACAGATACAGGATATTTATGGAAGGGGCTCTCCAAATCTTCTGACAATTTGGTAAATGGTTCAAAATAGACAACAGTATTCATTAATCAAATCGTTAAAGTTTTAGTATTTATATAATATTTGCAATGTTTTATTTACTTCATAGAAAAACATTCCATACATAAATAAAAACATGATTTTAATAATTAATAATCAAGTGGGCCGGAGGCGCCCGGAAATATTGATGGGCCCTCATCCCCATTTAGATTAAGGACGTCTATGGTAGTTGAGCTTACAAAAAACTGTCACGGTTAAGTAATTGTAGCCTACCCTTGTAGCAGATGATTCTATCAAAGATCTGGTAAACGTTGCGCATTCCCACGGCAGTACACAAAACAATACAGGCACGTGCGCGCAATAAATATTAGCGATAGTATGATTAAATTATCTTCGTTTTGTGTATAATAATGATAATAATAATATTATTATTATTTCTCCAAGTCTCTCGCTTAGCGAGGTGCCTATAGCACCCAGGACCAAGCAGAACGAAGGTGCCTGCTTCGCTTGCAAACTCGCGCGGTCAGTTATATCAATAGAAACTTCCTAACGATGCGTGCAGTACTAAGAAAACATCTTTTTGGATTGTTTGAATGTGCCAGTTCTTAAGGCAAAAGCCTTGCAGACGATGAAATTAGTTCTTCAGATATGAGCCCATTTGCGGAGATGACCACAGGGACTACTTCAACAGATACTAACCGCCCATCAGTTCAATATCCAAAGCCTGATATTTTCGCTTCTTCTTTTAGGCAACAGAGGCAACTATATTTCGGTCTAAAGGGATAGCTATAGACTATAATACCTTTCCGAGAAGCCTTATCAATCCACATTATGAAACTATGAAATTATGAAAATGCAGTTAAAGCAAATTCCTGTACGTAACAGGTGCTCACCCTTGTAGTAGGTGATGCTGTCGAAGATCTGGTAGAGGTCGCTGGCGGTGGCGGCGGCGGCGGTGAGCGCGTGCGAGGAGCGCAGGGCGTCGACGGCGAACACCTCGAGGAAGGCGCGCACCGCCGTCGTGGCGGCCACCTGCAGCTCGGGCTGCGCGCCCTCCAGCGCCAGCGCGCCGAAGTACGTGGCGAAGCCCTCGTTCAGCCAGATGGCGTCCCACCACTCCAGCGTCACCAGGTTGCCGAAGTAGGTGTGCGCCAGCTCGTGGCCCAGGATGAAGCCCACGCGGCTCACGGCCGACGACGAGTTGGGCGCCGGCAGCAGGTAGCGCTCCCTGCCAACGCACCGGCCGGCCGAAGAGCATGAGACCACGAGTAGACTAAATGTAATCATCTTTCGCTGCT